ATAATAAAACGCAAATAATTTTACGAGATATAAATTTTAGAAATTCACACTTTGAGTCAAACACAGACCAAGAAGGAAAGACGAATGAGACGAATAAAGTTAAGTTTTCATGCCACATAAAAATGGCAACTAACAGTCCACAGATGACAATGACAGTTGAAAATAAATAAACCCGAAATAGAATAACCATCTATTAGGAAATGGCAATAGCATGAAATGAAGCTTGCTTGTTGAAGTTGCATCTTAATTAGTTTTTAATCGGCGGCTTGTGGCTCCTCGGTAGATCAATCCTAAATTCAAAATTCGACCATGGCACGGCATAGCATTCTTCAAAAGAGCCATAAAATATAAAAAACATAAAGATACTAGGCGGTTCTTTTAAGATTTTTCATAAATGACAGAAGGCAGCAGGTGCGATATGACTATAGAGGCCGAACAGGAAGTGATCGAGCATCAGGAGCGAGGCAGCCCAGAAGTTACGCTGCGCTAGGTGTATACCATGGCTGGCCGACAACGGGTACGCAGCAGCGCGCGGCTTAGCGGATCGATGGGAGCCACCGCCGTGACTTCATCGGGTACCGTTGAAGACGAACGCTTAGCTGCGGCTCGCACGGCGGCGGCACTGTTGCGTAGGGCAAGAGCGGCTCAAGCTGCTGAACGCGCACGGGAAGTGGAAGATAGTCCACTGGTGCTGCGTGAAAAGTGCCGACAGCTTGCGAAGGCCCTGCAAGAAGCTAAGCACCTAGTGGTATGTATACAAGCAGTAGAACATATTCTCAAAGTCCCCCTGCCAGGTACTTCAAAAGTAATATACTTTAATCTTAATGTACATGTATTTTTTCAAGTTATCCTATTTTACACATAACTATATATGTATACATAGTTGCCATAAAAAAATCCCAGAATGTGTTGCATATTATTACCATATTAGTTCAATTATGACCATAAACCATTTTGATGTTCGAATATTACTTTAAGATAATTATGCACATACAAACATCAGTGTAATCATGTGTTTGGAATGCTCATTGAACTAAATGTGGAATAAAGAACAATTTTCTTCTTGTAATACATTTATTGAATATGAGATATGAATTTTGAAATACAGTCTAAACAAATAAATTAAGATGATTAATTGAGCCTAACACAACATGATATGACAAACAGACCTATAGAAAATACTTAATTCAACATCTTCTTACATTTTAGTATGATTATGAAGAGAGATATAACAAGATTAATTTTAATACTTATCACTCACATTTCCCCTGACTTGGGAGAAATCATTTACAACATGAGGTTCCCCATGTGTGTATTTCTTCATAAATTGGACAGAAAAGAGTTCAGTTGACAATTTAACACCACTTTTACATTATTTAATTTACAATTTATTATAAAATTCAGTTCATGACTGCTGCAGAAGTATAAGTTTGTGCCCTATACAATAGGACACAACTTCTTAAAAAAAACAATGGCGCTACAACCTTTTCAGGTCTGGGCCTCAGATTTCTGTATCTGTTTCATGGACATTTAGCGGTAATTTTATTGTTGTATTCACTTAATATTTTAAGGAGGGCAGTGCAGAGTTAGTGCACGCTAACGAAACACAATTCATGTGCATCAGTGACAACTGTGCACAACATTTTAAGGGACAACGAAAATACAAGAGAAAAGAAATGACAATAACCTGTACAAATAAGACATAACAAGAAATACAAAGATGAAATCAAATATGCAATTTAATAAAATATTTCTTTTTCAGCCACACTGTTTGCTCATTTAGGTTTTCGCCAAATCTCTCAATGGCGTTTTGATAATCTCCTATCCCTAAATACGTCTAAGACCAAATACATATGTTTTCATATATCGAAATCCAGCAAACCAAACCCTGTTCCGCCTATTAAATTACACGCATGTTTGAACTTTCACAGCAACTGCAACTGTCCTCTCCTGGAACCCACTAAAACAATCAAATACCTGGGATTAATTATTATTGATTCAAGGCTTTGTTGGGGCCCTCAAATAAACTACCTATGTTCTTGAGTTCGCAAACTTATAAATGTTTTCAAACGCCTTAGAAAGCCTGCTGATCCACATACAAACAATCAAGACAGTGTATACTGCATTATTCTAGTCGATATTATCTTACTGCATATCGGTTTGGGGTGGAGCGGCATTGTCTTCAATGCTGAAAATTGGGCGCACCCAACGTGCCATTCTTAAGATATCATATAAGAAACCATTTCGCTACTCAACTTCAAAATTGTACAATGAAACAAAACTTTTAACTGTGAGACAATTATACTTAATAGCAATATGCAGACTTTATATGGAACCAAACACTCACCGCACCGCATCAAACAAAACGCAAACCCATATAAAAGCAGCCCAAAACTCGCACCTTCTTTGCCCAATGCTTTTTCTCCTTCCGAGGCCCTTTCATCTTTAACCACTTCATTAAAAACAAAATTATCACTAACATTTCAAAAAATCACATTACATACATTTACTAAACATCTCAAACAATATCTTGTTAACCTGTCCTATTCTGATACTGAAAATATTCTTATTGTGCAAAAATAGTTTGAATATAAATGTGTAGAAATCATTAATATAATTTTTAAAATACTGTTTACGTGTCAAAAGGAAGAGACTGGCTGCCCACAACACAGGGAATCCTAGTGAGTGGGCCAGTGCCCTTTACTTAATCGAAATATCTTGTATATTGTGTATAATAAAGTTTTTTCTTTCTTTCTTTCTTCTTTTCTTTCCTGCAAGTGTTATTTTCATACACTCCAGTTTCATATACTTCCTGTCATTAATATGCGAGTCGCCCAGGTGTACACGGGCGCCGGCATCAGCACGGCCGCCGACATCCCCGACTACCGCGGGCCGAGCGGCGTCTGGACGCGGCTGCGGCGCGGCGAGTCAGTGACGCGCGTGGACGTGGCGCGCGCTCAGCCCACGTTCACGCACATGGCCCTGACGGCACTGTGGCGACGCGGCGCGTTAAAATTCGTCGTGTCGCAGAACTGCGACGGCCTGCATCTGCGCGCCGGTCTGCCGCGCCGCGCGCTGGCCGAGCTGCACGGCGACATGTTCGCGGAGCGCTGTCCCGCCTGCCGCCGCGTTTACTTGCGCGCGTTCGACACCACCGAGAGGACCGCTCGTCACGCGCACTCGACCCGCCGCCTCTGCCACCGCTGCGGTCGCGAACTGCGAGACTCCATCGTGCACTTCGGCGAGCGCGGCCGCGCCGCCTGGCCGCTCAACTGGGCCGGCGCTCTGCGGCACGCCAACGCCGCCGACGTCGTGCTGTGCCTCGGCTCCAGCCTGAAGGTGCTGCGTCGCTACCCGCGACTCTGGCGGATGCAGCGCGCGCCGCACGCCCGTCCCGCGCTCTACATCGTCAACCTGCAGTGGACGCCCAAGGACTCGGCGGCGGCGCTCAAGATAAACGCGCGGTGCGACGCCGTCATGGCCGCCGTCGCGCGCCGGCTGCGACTGAACGTGCCGCTCTACGACTCCCGCGCCGACCCGCTGCTGGCGCACGCCGAACCGCTCGCGCCGCCCGAGGCGCACACCACGCGCCGTCCGCCGCTGACGCCTCCCCCGCCGCCGCTCCGCCGCCATTACTCGCCGTCGCCGCCGTCGTCGGCCGCCGATTCGGACGAGGAACTGCCGCTGTGCAAACTGGCGAGCCGGCTGCGAGGCGCCCGCTCGCCCGCCTTGCGCTCGTTCCGGGTGACTCTGCGCTCGGGCGACGCGACCATCCTGCTGCGTTCGGAGCACGCGCCCGCCGAGCCGCCGCCCCCGGAGCCGCCTCCGTCCCGGCGCCGGAGTCCCCGCGAAGCTCGCGTGGGAGGGGACGACGGCGACGAGCTCGATTCGAAGCTGCGCGATCTTCTGTTCGAGCCCAAGGCCGAGTGGGACGTGGCGGCGGCGGCCTTCATCGAGCGCGCGATGCTCGTGTGCCGCGCGCGCCTCTACCCCGGCCTGCACACTATCATAGCGCCTTCGTCGCCCGCGCCGCCGCCGCCGCCCACCGCCGAGTGCGACTGGTGCGCGCGCCGTTACTCGGCTCGACGCTGCCTGTGGTACGGGCCGCCGCGGCTGACGCCCCCGGAGCGGCGCGCTTGGCGACGCGTCCGCGGCGAGCGCTTCCTGTGCGCGTGCTGCGGCGAGGACGGCGGCGCGGCGAGCGCCACCGACGCGGACGGCGGCGGCTGGTACGGCAAGGGTTACCGCAAGGGCCGACGGCGGCGTCGGTAGCGACCGCCGCCGTCGCGGCCGCGCCGAAGCCGCGACGCGGACGCTCGGAATGTGAATCTTTGCGACGATATTATCGAATGACACGAGAATGATGATAATTTTGTGTATTTTTCTATTTTGAGTGAGTGATGTTTTGTGGATAATTATTTGACGAAGAAATGAGAAAAGATACTCATTTTCAATTTGCATCTATGATTTTTGTAATGCGAGCGACTACATTCAAACTTGTGACAGCCTAAGGCACGAGAACAAAATAGTAATTAAGAAATAAATAAAGACGACACGCGATTTTAGTTTGTCTGTTTTTTGGAATTTCCTTTTGACCCGACCGAGTCTACATCGATTACAAAAGTGATTCAAAACGCTCTGAGAAGAAAGGTTTCCTGCATATAGGACTCGTGCATTTGGTACTTGTACATTAGATGGTAAAACTTTATATTTTTACACTTTTTGTGACTTCATTTCAACAAAAACACAAAAACTAATCCAGACAGCAGCAAAAAAGCATTAAGCAATCGTATATAAATGTCGACCAAAATAAATTATTCCGCAGCCGCACTCTTATTGTGACACACGTCTAGCCTTATCGAAGCGCGATATCGCAACATCCTTCCCGAGACCTCCCTCCTCACTTCCGGGAGCCAAGTGGCGACACTCGCCAGTAGTCAGTACTCTGTTGACTGTCGCGTCGGCGGCGATACTGTGAGTAGCTTTCTTGAAGTCCGGTAATGCTTCGCTGGAGGCGATGGCGTGTCGCCGCAGCGCTGGCGTTCGTCCTGGCTGCCTTCGGCGTGCGCGTACCTCTCGACGCCCAGCTCGACGCACATTTTCCGGACGTGACGCCGCGATCGCTGGCGCACTTTCTCTCCGACTTCACTAACTACCCGCGTCTCTACCGACACATCGGCGCCTGGAGACTCGAGCGCGAGGCGTCCAACTACACCACTTGGACCTATGCGGTGCGCTACGAGTGCGGCCCGCGTTGCGAAGGCGACGTCGAGCTGAGCGCGCACGACGAGCGGGCGCCGCTAGTTCATTCATTGGTGCTGAAGGACGAGAGGTGCACTCGTCTGCCACTGCTGCCGTTGAGGTGGTGCGTGGCGCTGGAAGTGCGCAGCGAGGTGGCGGCGGGAGGGACGCGAGGCGGCGCGTTGTTGCGCGAGAGAGCGCGCGTTTGGTGCGGCGCGTTTCATGTGTTGATCGGCGAAGCTTGCGCGCCGTCCGCGCTGCGCGAGAGCCATTTGCGCGCTTTACGTACTCTAACCAGCTTTACGATTATATAAACTACATTATTTTATAAATTTGATTTAAATAATGTGCATTATTATTATTAACATCTACTATGGAAGCTGATTTTACGACGGTTGTTACATGGGCGTACACATGGCACACTTTTATCTTTATACAAAACAAAAAATTAATTTCCAAGCATCTTTTGGAGGAGGAGAGTTGCGAAATGTTTTATCAAAAAAACCCTGTTTTGCGTGTGTTTTTAAATGATGTTTTTTCTATTACTACAAAAAAGTTTTGTATTCTGTCTATGAGTCTACCTATATATTCTCTCAGCGTCCGTCTGAGTTTTGTTTTAGAACTATTACGGTATATTTATTTATTAAAGTAGGTACAATTACAATCTATCTACTTTAAAATACACGACGGTTACAGTGAACATACATTTTACAAAAAATCAAAATAATAATATTACACTTCTAACTACAAATTTTAGTTGGTACCTACTAGTAATTTAAAAATACTTATTCGCTTTACATTGCGGATTAGGCACCGATAGGCGCAGTTTATTTTTTTTCAGGTGTTTCCCGGATAGTGAGTTGCCCATCCATCTTTTGAAAATTGGACTACGATAAACTAAATACAGCTTCAGCCCATAATTTACGTTCACTTGTCCGTTTTATAAGTAACAGTGAGTCTCCTATTTATTCCATTTTTAGATAAGAAATAATTTAATTCTTTATTATTATGTATTAGGTACCGCTATCTGTTTGTAGAGATTTTCAGTTTTCTTCCTTCAATTGATAAGAGCAGTGTTGGCCTAGTGGGTTCAGCGTGCGACTCTCATCCCTGAGGTCGTAGGTTCGATACCCGGCTGTGCACCATCGGGCATTCTTTCTATGTGCGCGCATTTAACATGCGCTCAAACGGTGAAGGGAAAGATCGTGAGGAAACCGACATGTCTTAGGGTAATCTATAGTCCACTTATTTGCTCAGGCTTACCTTACGAAAAACTTTGCTTAGTGTACACTAAGGTTAAACTATGATTTCGTATTTATAGACATTTTAACGGTGAGATTAAGCTAAGACAGAAAATGTCAAAATACAAATTGATGTTTCATTTCATGCAATACTTTGTTTATTATCCTTTAAAAAAGTTAACAATAACAAATATTTAAAAATCTAAAACGGTACACATATATCTTCAATTTATTGTTATTTATGTATTCATTTATTTTATTATTGCAATAACTAGAAATTCACGAGTAACCTTTAGAAAATGTATTAATTATTTAAAGATGACAATAATTTTATTACGTAGAACGGATCGCAATGTTTTGGTTAGGTTATAGTTTGAATTTCGTTGTCACTATAATATGCCAATTGCCAGGGCTGCCAGGTGACATACAAAATCACACCAGTTATTTTTAAGATTTCTCAAAAATGGGGTTTGAACAATTACATAAATAATATAAATAAACAACAATAAATACCATAATAATGTGTAATTATTTTATTTCATGCATTTCATAGGTATTTATCAAGATCATTTATAATTTCTTTGAATTCAAATTCTATTTTTCCCAAAGTCTATGGAACTCCGATACAAAATGGGCAACACCGTTCATTAAAAACCGACAAAAATAAAAAGTCCAGTAAAAGATATGATGGTAAAGCAAATTTTGGGCCATTATTTTTGTTAGGCTTATAGTCAAAGTTTTTGGTAAGTCGTCGATTTCGTGGACTTGAGATTAAGCTAAGCCAACACTAGGGAGAGATTCGTAGTTTGCTCTATAAATACCGACTGTGTCTTAGCTCGATAGTTAAGTCAGAGCAAAGTCTAAGTGCGCACTATAGATCTCACCCTTAGACCCAAAAAGTCGACGGCGTGTGTCAGGCACTGGAGGCTGATCACCTACTTGCCTATTAGATTGAAAAATGAACTTGAAATTTGAGGCCCAGACAGAAAGAGGATGTAGCGCCACAGATTCTTTTCCTTCAATTGATTCCGTTCTAAATGGCCTACAAACGTCGATCTGCACTACCTCAAAGATATCGTTGGTATAAACAGTGTACAGCTTGCCAGCTGATGGACTATGAAATGAGTATTTAACTTTAAACGTAATAAATGCCAGGAGTGTCTGTATAGTATATAATATAGTGTAGGTATGTATCAGCAAGCTGCACTAGATACCGAAATATATGAGAGGGTGAGATCTACAGAACCTAACAACACTACGGATCCCTAAGCCCTACTCTAACACATAAATAAATAGTGAATGTACGAGCCAAGGCTGTACATTTTGCTCACTCAGGCTTCCTTAGTTTTATAATCGTGATTATTCCCTACGTACGTGCCAAGGCTCGTACATTCCAATCATTTACAAGCATAACAATTTCCTATGTTTGTACGTGCCCTGGCTGTACAGTTTGATCACTTATAAGCATGACGATTTCCTAAATCGTCGGAGTCACGCCCCGAGAGTATAGCCCGACGCAGGCACTCTCTTCGACTGTTACAGCAGTCATTCGTATCATTACAATTAACTGTATCATGGGAGTTTCACCCCGGGAGCATAGCCAGACGTCGGCACTCTCTCTGTTCGTTAGATTGCACTTATATATAGCAATTAACATAATAGTTATTATTTCGCTCATATTCTATTGTATAACGCGAGTGATAAATATAGAGTAAGTTAAAATTATTCTATTATTTCGAACCCCTGATGATCCAGGAACCGTACAGTGAATATTTTAGTAAGTACGGGAAGTCTCCATGATACCTAAGGTAACAGACGGAGCCCTAGTAGGATCAGAGGTTCAATGTGGTGGGATTATCTCGAAGCTATCGGGCATCACCACGATAATTAAGGGCATGAGGCTTTGCAACTTTCAGAGGAAGCTAGAAATTTATAAGACAGAGCAATATTCAAATCTGATTTATTGTTATAAAACAACCTCTTAAATACTACTTACACCTATTACACATCTAAATCTAAATATGTATATAAAACAGAGTCGTGTTAGTTACACCACTTATAACTCAAGATCGGCTGCACCAATGTTAGTTATCTCTTTTTTGGTGGATTCTTCTCGGCTCCGAATAGCAGAATAAATAATAGAATATCGAATAATAATTAATTAATTAATTTTACGAATGCAAACAGCATGTGGTGCCATCTGTTGACTAACCTACGCATCATTTTACATTGAATTCGTGTCAGTTCAATAAATTCCGATCTTGAGGTGAATGTGGAGATGCATAACCAGGCTTTGATCTTGATCGAAGACATGTGTTACCTCATCAAAAATGTTGTATTCATGTTAAAACCTTAATGAAATCCTTAAATAACGCGCAAGCGTTGCGCGTTCTTTTTTAAAACTTTTTAGAACTTTATAAAATTTTGGTTTCAAATTTTATTCCGAACATCAATTCATTTTTCGCCGCCAAGCCAGAGGGGCTTTATTTGTGTTTCTAGAATTGTTGTTGCACTTTAGAAAGGCACACGATGGCATTTTGTGACACTAAACTGCTCGCAAACGTCCTTTACAACACGTCCGGCTAACACTGTGTTTAGGGGTGCACTAATCCCAGGTTAGTGAGCTGAGAGCTCACTCACTTCGACTGTGGAACAACACGGCGCGGTCTCACTGCGGTAAGGGCCTATCTAACGATATAAATCTATGGCCCTTCTAATATGTTTCTCTTTTATTTTGAATTTTATTGTAATTCCATTTTCAGTCGTAATTTAATTCACTTCTATTTAAAGTGATTAAGAAAAAGGTATTATTGGACGATGTAAACAATTCTATCTCTCGTATAGTTAATGGTTTAAAGTACCTAAATAACTTAATACTGCTTAATGAGAATAAAACCAAAGGTAGGTAAGAATTAGATTAACAACTACTAGCGTAAAGCGAGATAATATTGGTTACCTGAAAGTTCACAAAAAAGTTCTGAAGGACAGTGAACAAAATTTTGTTGACAAAACCGTAGATAGTAAACTCCAGTGGGGCCTACACATAGAGACTCTTTCGAATAGGCTGTGCTCTACAGCATATTATGCTTTAAAGAAAATCCGACAGTTTACTTATCACGGCTAAAATTGTGTATTTACTAGTTTAAGTTTTAAGTACTTTCACAGCGTTATGTCGTAAGGCATTCTACTGTTGGATGCTGCTGCAGAGGTTCAATTCATATATTACGTGCTGCAGAAGCAGGCTGTTTGGGGTATTTGTTGTGTTTCCCCAAGGGAGTCGGAATAAGTTTAAGGAATTAAATATTATGACACTATCTAGGGCCTTAGTCCAGAAGCCTAAACAGTAGTGTATGTAGAAAGTCAAAAACTAAATTTGTATGAAAACTTTTCGACACGTCGAACTGTCATTTCCATACAAATTTACTTTTCGATTTTCTACATACACTACTGTTAAGGCATCTTGACTAAGGCCCCTGGTCAAAATATTCTTGAAGCCTTGTTGTATGTACAAAAAAATATACTTAAACGATTTTAAAACAAATGGTGACTTTCACCAGTAGGTATAATACTCGAAACAGAACTTATTTTGAGCGTACGACCAACCAGACTCTAGAAGATAAACCACTCTTTATATGAAAATTGTATTCGTTTATACAACAAACTCCCAAGCGAAATTAGAGAATTTACGCGTCGGAGGTATTTCAAACAGTGCAGCAGTGGAAGAAGGTAATACGATTGTAATGTAATGTTAAAACATCATTATTACTAACAATATTAAAATCTGGATTCATCCATTAATATTTCGTTTTTAATATTTCTTTTTAATTAATCATTTTTTTCTCAAACGAAAGCTATAGGTCTGTCGTAAAGTGACATTATTGTCACGATATCAATTATGTCAAATTACGAAAAGTGAATGTCAAGTGAACTTAGGAATTAGGTAATCGAAAGACAAAATGTTGAAACTGGCATAAAGTGACAACTATTGCCATAGTATTAAAAAAAAGACAACATGTCTAAACGCGAAAAGTGACAGATTAGTACTTTAGTTAAAACAGTACATTTAGACTGATGAGATAAAATTTGTATAAGGGGAAAAATAACGAAAATAATATAATATAGGCCTATACGGTGCAGTCAGTGCTTTAGCCATAGACTAGTATTTAAGATATATATGTATATCTGTTTCTGTGGTTCTATGCCACATACACGTACTTTAAATCTTGTAACTTGTTATTAGGGATGATCGATATTAGAAAAACATCGATATTGACATCGATGTCACAGTCGAAAGCCCAACATCGATGTTGGATAAATCCATTTATAATTGACAAAGAAATAAAATACAGCGAAATTTATTAAGAAACAGAACAAATTATTAAATATTCCGATATTTTTGAAGTTATACTACTTTCGGCGCGTTATGAAAAATTGATGAGAGTGAAATTTTACGATGCGCGCGCACCGTTACACAAAATTAACAGAATGAAGTTGCCCACGGAAGATGCTACGGCATTGGACATAATTTAAAAACAACATTCGAATAATAATAGAATTTATGTTACACTTAATGTAAGAGAATAATAATAAATATTTATTTATTTAATTTTTCAAATGTAAACTGAACTTTATTGACTATAATGACTCCATTACCAGTCTTTGATTATTTAATTGTAATTAATTATTTGCTTGCAATCAAAAACTATTTTTAATAATGCCAAAGAAGTGTAACTTCTTACGCGCGTACATAAGTACACGCACCCTTTTTTTATCAACTGACTGAATGAAAAGTAATTTTGATAAAGTAAAACCTTATTATTTCTTTGTTGATAAAGAGTCATGAGAATGTGTGACAGACGAAGAGCGAGCCATACTACGAAGAACAAACGAAGGGAACGATCAGGGCGCAGTGAATAAATACGCGTTCAAAATTTTAATAAACCTCATTTGTGGATGCATTCATAGAAGACATAATTTGTTTCGTAACCTAGTAAGTTGCATAATGCATTGGTCGTGCGGGAGGCCGTGAGTTAACATCGATGTTCGATTCCGTTAACATCGATGTTTTTGCTTTCAAGTTTCAACACATCCCTACTTGTTATCCATAATGATTAATGTTACTCTACGTAATACGTTAACACTTAACAGTTAACTCTATTGTAATCTTAATTTGTAAGTTTGTAAACGTGTTGTAAATTTAAAAAATGGTTAATCGTAAAAACATACTTTACTTATTTGATGTTGACGGGACTTTGACGAAACCGAGACAAATAATATCAGAAGATTTAAAATTATTTCTCCTTAATCATGTTAAGCCCGAAGTTGCTATAGGATTGGTAAGCGGATCAGACTATTCAAAAATAGTCGAACAAATGGATGGCGAAGATATAACAAATCAATTTGATTATGTGTTTTGTGAGAATGGGGTGATGCAATATCAGCAAGGCGAGCTTAAGAACACACAGAGTATTCTAAATCATGCTGGCGAGAGAACATTACAACGTGTTATAAATTTTGCCCTTGGATATATGTCCAATATAGAATTACCAGCAAAACGCGGAAATTTTGTTGAGTTTCGGTCTAGTATGATCAATATATGCCCAGTGGGACGCTCTTGCAACCAGAATGAAAGAGATCAATTTTCACAATTTGATAATCAACATAACATTAGAAGTAAGTTTGTTGAGGCTCTACAAAATGAATTTAAAGATACGGATCTTAAATTTGCGCTTGGTGGTCAAATCAGTGTGGATGTATTTCCTAAGGGTTGGGATAAGACTTACTGCTTGAAACATGTTGCAGATGGAAATTTTAAGGAAATTCATTTTTTTGGTGATAAAACAATGCCAGGAGGTAACGATTACGAAATCTATAGTGACGAACGAACCATTGGACATAAAGTTTCTTCACCCCAAGATACCAAAGAACAAATAAAAAAACTTCTTAGTATTTTATAATATATATCTATTATAACATGTACATCTATACATCTATTAAATGTACATAAATATCACTGTAAAATTACAATATTGTGAGTGTTGCATCAGCTACATAAACAATGATAACCTCGATAACACAGATAAATGTATATTTAAAAAATCTTATCTTAACAACAGAACAGTTTTAAAGTACCTACATGTGAATATAATTGACAATTTTCAGTGTTGAGCTCTAAAATAGATCCATCAACAACCTTGATAGTTAGGTTTTCTTTTTTCCATAAAAGATAGCATGCCTTCCCTCCTATCTTGAGTTGGTATATTTTTTTCATAACACTTCTGTTCAATTTCGTAACCATCTTTTATACTTAGCTGGATACCTTCATTTATGGCTTGTTTAGCACATCTGAGAGCAATAGGCGCATTTGATGCAATTTCTTGAGCAAGACACAGAGCTTTTTCAAAGGCTGCATTGTTTGTGCTATTCTGTGGCACAGAGTGGTTTACAAGACCTATAAGAACAAAACAAATGTTAAACATGGTACTTCACATGCACATGACACAATAATTATTTATGAACCTTACTAACCTAATTGCTTTGCTTCTATACCACTTATTATTCTAGATGTAAATATCAACTCCTTTGCAATGTTAGTATGGACTACTCTAGGTAGTCTCTGGGTACCACCTGCACCTGGGATGAGACCCCTTCCTGTCTCTACTAACCCAAGTTTGGCAGTATCTGCTGCTACTCTAATGTCACATGCAAGAGCCAGCTCTAGTCCTCCTCCAACAGCCACACCGTCTATTGCTGCAATTGTCGGCATAGGTAGATCTTCAATATCTATAAATGTTTGCCTCAAGCCTCTAACAAATGATGCCACTTCAACATCATTCATTTTAAATCTTTCCTTTAAGTTAGCCCCTGGAATAAAAAGTTTGAAATAACAATTAAAACTGCAAGTCATTGACTGAGACACTGCCACTGTCTATTAGAAAAAAAAATCATTAGTTTTAATTACTTAAATTTCAGTTCACATAACTAACCTGCACAAAATATTCCTGTCACTAAGCTATGAAGTATAACAACAGAAATCTTAGTATCCTCTCTCAGTATGGAATTGACTTCTCTCATAGAGGCCAGCAAGTCAAATCCAAGGGCATTTCTGTTTTTATGGTTGTTGAGACCGTACAGAGCTATGTTTTTATTTTCTCCAGGTAGCCTCTGAAACACCACACCACTTGAATTTTCCAGACTTACAGTTTTTGTTGAGAAGCATCTCCAAAAACGCGGTTTATTTAGAACTTTTAGAATTAAGTGCATCAACATTTTTTATATATAAATGTGGCAAGTTGAAAAAGTCTTATCTATAATTTGACAACCAGCTACCGAGCGGTAATTAAATAGTATTAATTTATGCGGAGCGCGAGTACTAATATAATACTAGTAACCAATGACGACTTTATCTTATAGGAACAGTACATACATGTATATATATATATTTTAGTCTCGTAAATATAATATTTAAATATGGTTCTTAAAAACAAAAGTTAAACGTTTGTGTAATTTAAAGTGAATTACAATTTAACAAAATATGTAATAATATAATTGTCTATTTATATCTCTAATAGAAAAGGCAAAAGACTTTGGTCCATACCAACTAATTTCACATTTGTAAATTAAGTCAACATAAATTGCAAGTTTCCCGCGATCTTACATAAATCACAGATGACCTTTTAAATAAAATACTCTATGGTCATGACTAGCTACCAGTACATATAAATAAACAGAATATTGTAACATAATTAATGCTGTAAAACAGTCACCAGTTTTTGAAGTATATTCTTTAGGCGCGTTATGAAAAATTGATGAGTGAAATTTTACGATGCGCGCGCACCGTGACACAAAATTAACAGAATGAAGTTGCCCACGGCATTGGACATAATTTAAAAACAACATTCGTATAATAATAGAATTTATGTTACACTTAATGTAAGAGAATTATAATAAATATTTATTTATTTAATTTTTCAAATGTAAACTGAACTTTATTGACTATAATGACTCCTTTTCCAGTCTTTGATTATTTAATTGTAATTAATTATTTGCATTCAATCAAAAACTATTTTTAATAATGCCAAAGAAGTATAACTTACGCGCGTACATAAGTACACGCACCCTTTTTTTTATTAATCGATTATTTTCTTATAAAAATAATCGATTTTTTCCTAATTTTTGAATTAATTTCAAAATAAACACCCTAAATATTTTATTTTTCATGGTTTTATTAATTAAAAATAAACAATAGAAAAACAAATTAACGTTTAAGAATAATCAAAATCGAAATGAACTTAATCTCGTTTTGATAGATTTTAGGTGAAATTTGATAAATGCTGTGTACCTATGCCTTTTCAGTAGCACATTGCAGTATTTTTGTTGTCTTTTTTATTGTATGTAATCTTGTGCTGCTGAGTAAATTTATTTTACTTTTAAATTATAGTGTTCCATTCAACCTTGAGTTTTTGTAAAATTAACTGGTTTTATCATCCTTTCGATGTTTTACAAAAAAACATTAATGCATCGAGTATATCAATACATCTACAAAGCATCGGATTCAATGTAAACATTGATGTATATCGAATATCCCTAATAGTTCGAGGTCCGAGTTATAAAAGACCAGACATAATACGCGTTGCAGACCAAGAGCTAAGCTACGTTAGTTTAGCTTAGCTCGCATAGCTGACCCAATTTTCCATACGTCTGCGCAGACCGCAAACTATGCGAACTAAGCTATGTGAGCTAACTAAAATATGCGAAGCTAAGTTAGTTGTGTATGCCGATGCGCAGCTACACGAGCTAAGCTAAGCCCCTCCCGCTACCCCGCACACCCTTTGCACATAGTATGCAACACTGACTGAGCTTTGGGTTAGCTGTTGGTGTGCACGCTATTTATTTCTAGCTTAGCTTAGCCTAGCTTGCTTGGCATAGCTTAGTTTAGCCTTGGCATAGCTTAGTTTTCGGTCTGCAACCGGCTTAATGTCGGGAGGTGGCGGATGAAAAATCGACTATGATTGATTTTCAATTATAAAAATAATCGATTATTTTAAATATAAAAATCGCATACAAAAATCGATTTTCACTTTAAAAAAAAACGATTAAAATCGATTTTTTTAATAATCGATTATTATTCCACATCCCTACCGACCCGAAGGACCCAATGATTACGTCGTGAAATTGTACATCAATCCTAAGCGGCCGAAATAACTTCACTTGTGGATTTAAGTATGAGGTCATCGCAGTTATTGTTGCCGTAGAATACCTACATTCTACAGTCTTTCACAACCACGAAAAATATTTTTCATCTCCTTTTCGTGCACTTTTCTGTTTTAGATTGTTTAAGAAAAAAAGGACCAACATAATACATTCGTTTGCCACTTTAACGAGCACTATCTTATTCAGGCGTTTTCCTAGTATCCTGTGATATATATTTAGCCATAAATTCCCAAATCCTAGTCTGTATTGTCAATTGTCAACCGCTCCGTAAATTTTTTATTACGCTTCGTTTTTCAAAATTTACAAGTTATTATCGTGTTGCTCATATTTTGCTTTATTTCCTTAAAAATGGCAACAGTTTTATGTTCTAAGGCAGTTTATACATGCCATCTTGACCCGAGTTCAAATTCTTCTTTGAAATTAATTCTGCTGAAAAACGTCCAAAATGTAAACACGATCACCGAAAATATAAAACACGGTGTATGGAAATGTTCTGCTATAAATCCGTCTTTAATACTAGATCCTTTCCAAGTAGCTGTCGCCGCCAACCGTGCTGTCGTTGCCCAAATGTCAGGAAATATGGTAACAAAGTCGGTGTATGGAGAAATTTTATATAACTTGTCACTCACCAAAAATATAACTCAGAGCTTAACCAAGTTTGGCGTTTACAAACAGCATTGTGTTTTACTGTGTTTTATTGTAACACAAAAAGAGGATCACAGTGACGATGTTTTGAAGCAGATCAATGGAGAACTCTGTCCCATTTCAGATCTAAGTAAATACACAGAACTTAAACAAATACAAGATGCATTTAAATTGGACAATTTACAGTGCACTGATAACCTCTTAGATAGTATTGTTAGCCGAATGGTAACTAAGAACATTGTGTCTTTTAATAATAGGGGTATTATTCAATGATAACTGAGTGATTTTAAAACAAAAAAGTATTATTTATGGTGTAATATATTAAAATCTAATCTTTTCATAAATTTCATTTTAGCCACATTGATAAACATCAATGGTATTTTAATAAACAATTATCATATTAATAATCTAGGACCCTAGCATAGTGTACCTACTTGTGGTTGTTTTGAATTCTTGTAAATTCATATGGCGTTTTGTCTGTTTTGGGTTAAGAGTGAATTTTTCAATGCACACATATTTAATGTTGTTAAATACAGCAATTACATCACTAATGTATGAACATAGTAATGTGTAAGGATTTATGCTAGGTTAAGCTGATATACATGTACTAGTAGGCACTGCATTGTAATTGTAGAATGTTGTAAGAAAAAAAATAACAATATTATAGATATGTATTGAAAACAGGCTGTTTTAGTGTACTCTTTTATTTAAACAACAACAATATATTATCATTAAGCCTATCAGCATAAGTTAAATGTACAGAATATATTTCAGTTTACCACTTATGTAATGGGAAAAGAGTCTGACTGACTATTCATTATCTGCAATTATTGTAAGGCTAAGTGATCAAAAGTGAGTTTCTTACCCTGATAATATTTACCATTTTAATACACAAGTAAACTTAACAATTAAAATAAGAACACAATAGTTGCCTGGGCTGCACTTTAGGTTATCAAATTTAATTTTTTTGCTTGGGATAGATTGCCTACCCATTCGATTGATTGAATACAATGCGGGAATAAGTAATTTCAGAGTCAAATTCACAAATCATATATTTATCACCTAAAATAAAGTGCAGCCAATGTCTGTTTGTATTTACAACATAATCAAAGCAACATGGTATCTAGTAACTATTGAGCATTAGGAACTTTACAATTATTAATCACAACAAGTTTGCATTACTGGGCAGAGATAAATAATGCAACATATTTTGTATAACCCACTAAGGAAAGTGAATCTCGTTGAATATATACAACCATCAATCGGGCTGTGGCTTAAGAATTTAAAACAGAATGTAAAAACTCACATTTTTATGATCTATAAAGAGTGTAGCGAGTAAGGCATAAAACATTTAACTCAATCGTGTCACATTGGCCAACCGCTGTAATTGTGTTCAGAAATTAGCTTGGATTTAAACTCTACGATAACAGTGGACGTTTGAAAACCAGGAAAGCATCCAGTTTTAAAAAGTTGTTTGTTCAAGTTGACTATATTCTTTATACGTTGTTGACCTTGGCATTTCTATTTTAACAAAAAATTATGGAATACACATACAATCATTATGGGTCATTCTAGTATAAAAGATGACTTTTTAACTCACTGCACGGATTCTGTTGTGACAATTAAGCGCTAGTTACGTAGAAGTACTCCACTAAGTAGCACCTTTTGAACACTTTGCTGCTCTGTTTCTCTCCCATTCGTCAAATAGAGATCACAATCCGTGCGAACCTAATAAGTCACCGGACACCACGAACGTGCACGTACGTAACCTATACGAGACTGTTAAACGACTAGTGGATATTCAAATTCATCATACATTACTAAAGATCGCCGGGCGTCTTCGTCGCGTCAGTGCGCGAAGGGCAGCGACAGGCCGTAGAGCGAGGGTCACCGACGCGCCTCCGCCTGGTACACGGACACGGTGGAGTCCTTGGAGCCCACGCCCATCGCGCACCTCAGCGGGTGGAAGGCCAGGCACGACACGGGCCCGATGCGCGGCCCCATGAAGCCCTCGTGGAACTTGATGGTGTTGAGGTGCGCGCCGCGCAGGTCGTAGATGCTGATGCACTGGTTCACGGAGCCGGCGGCCAACAGCGGCGCACGCTCGTGCACGGCCAGCGCCGCCAGCGGACCCGGCGCGCGCACCTCGCGCAGCGCCGCGGCCCTCGTCCCCACCTTGCGCTCGTCGTACACGCGCACGACGCCCTCCACGCTGCGCACACACGCTCGTCAACGTCTCGCTCTCCCGGCTCGCGAGGCGAGAAGGCGGCAACTCACCATCCGGTCACGAGCGCGTTCCGATCGGAGCGCGGGACGGCGGCCAGAACGGGCGCCGCGTGCTCGCGCAGCGTGTAGATCGGCTCCGGCGTGCGCTCGTCCCACGCGCGCACCGAACCGTCCGCGAAGCCGCACACGATCCGCCATCCGCCGCGCCACAGGCTCGTCGCGGCGCACTCGACGCCTGCGACGGGACAGGTTGAGAGGGGCGCCGACGCCCGGCGTCGAGGCGGCGTCGGGCGGCGGGGACTCACCGGTGTCGATGTCGGCGTGCAGCATCTCGGCGAGGGCGTCCCACAGCCGCAGCGTGGGCGCGGGGCCGGCCAGCGCCAAACTGCACCGTCGCGAGCACCAGCGCACCAGCGTCCCCGGCGGCGGCGCCGACCAGGAACTGGCGCCGCCCGCGCCGTCTGCTCGCGACAGGAATGGCCTTAATAATTGGGCGTAACGAGAGCGGCGCCGGATACGTCGAGACGAAACTCACTGTAGAGCGGCTGCGCGGGCGGCGGTCGGTAGTCGGGCGCGGGCCGCACGTCCAGCGCGCGCCACGCGGTCAGCAGGCGGGGCTCCGCGCCGCCCCCGGAGGGCCGGTAGACGGCGAGGTTGCCCTGGTGGCCGGCCACGGCCAACGCGGCGCCGTGGTGGGCGTCGATGTAGGCCAGCGACGTGATGCGGCCCCAGGCGCGGCGCCAAGTGCCCACGCACAGCTTGGCCGCCGTGCCCCAGTCCCAGATCCTGCGCTCATCCGTCAGATACACGGGTGAATAATGGGCAAAAACAAAACAAAGGAACAAGAAGGAGAAAAAGTGGTACGAGTGGTGTAATAAGTCGGTGTTCTTAGGCTGCCGTTTACTTCGAAGTGTATTCTGGGAAAACAATTAACGGAGCTTTCTGTATGCCTCACGTAGTGGAGTGAATTTACCAAAATGCGGTGGAAACGAGAACGAGTACCCAATACAAGGCAACCGTTAATAATTAGGTCACGTAAAATAAAAATTCTCACCCGAAGTTGTCCTTGGAGGCGACGGCGGCGTGCTGCTCGTAGGGATGGAAGAGCACCACGGCCGGCGGCAGCGGGCAGCGCGAGTGGAAGGCCTGCGTGTCGAGCCGCGTCACGCGCGCCGAGCGCAGCCCTGCACACGAACACGGGTCTCGGGTCAGACGCGCCCACGCGCGGTCTCAGCCTCCGGTTCCTTCCCTACCTTTCGCCTCTCGGCGGATGTTGGCGTTGCGCCTGCGCCGCCACACGCGCTCGTGGTGAGCTCGGCACTCGACGTCGCCGTCCTCGTCCGCCTCCGCCTCGCCTCGCCCGAAGCGGGCCGTCGCCCACTCCACGAACTGCGTGCTCACGATGGGTCTCTTCGCGCTCTGACCTGCTAATGTTTTTAACGATTCGTATCATTAGAGGAATAGAGACAGAAGGTATTCAAACTACGTTTGAATGGAAATGTCCAAATCTCACCCGCCGACAAGGAGAAGGAATCCTCCGAAGTGGCGTGCGGCAGCCCGGAGCGGCCTCGTCGACGACCTGTGAGCACGGGAAGCGGTGAGAGCGATGAGAGCCGAGAGGTCGGGGCGGGACGGGCCGGCCGCTCACCGAGGGGGAGGGTGCCCGCGGACGGCGCGGCGGAGGGCCGCGCGTTGGGCGACGGGGGCAGCGAGCTGGAGCCGCCGCTCGAGACACGCTCCGCGTCGCGGCCCACGCTGTCCACCTGGTCGGCCACGTGGCCCACGATGTCGTCGGCCATCTGCGCCAATGAGGGGTGCGGTTCGCGGCACATGGCGCACACGCTGCTCCACAGCTTCATGTAGACGGAGCCGAAGCCGATCGTGGGCAGCGACAGCGAGTGGTGCGCGGGTTGAGAGCCGCGGGGGCCGCGGGGAGGTGGGCCGGCCAGCGCCTCGCAGCCCGCCTCCACTTGCGCGCCGCCACGCCCGCTCCTGTCGAAGAAAAAGGCGTTCGAATCGAAAGATCCCGCCGAGACACTGTCCGACATCCGAGTCGGCGGTGGCAAGATTTTTATTCCGGGCGGGACTCACTTATCGCTTCTCCGCATCCGCTCCTGCAGGTAGACCGCGATGAAGTGTTGCTCGAAGATCAGCACGAGCCACTGCAGCGCTGCGAACAAAGAGAGAGATGAGCGAAGCCCGACGGGCCGACGGGGACGAGGGCGACGGACGAGCGACCGACCGGCGAGGATCTCGGCGCGCACGAGCGGCGAAGCGTCGGCGGAGAGGCGCGCGGCCAGCAGCACCGCCACCTGGTGGTCGAGCGCGTTGGCGTGGTCGGTGCGCGGCGCGAGAGGAGCGGCGCCGACGAGACAGCCGAGGGCGTACGCGCAGGCGGCGCGCGTCTCCACGCGCGGGTGCGTGAGCAGCGCGGCCAGCTTCTCGTGCGCGAGGTCGCGGGCGGCGGCCCCGCGGGCCGCCTCGCAGCCGCGCCACAAGCGTCCCAGCGCGATGCACGCCCACTGCTCGAGCACGCCGGCGCCGCCCTCGCCGTCGCTCACTTGCTCGAGGCAGGCGGGAATCATGGAGCCCTGCAGCGCCGCCTCCTGGCCGGCGGGGTGCCGGTCGACGATGCCGGCCAGCACGAAGGCGGCCAGGGTGCGGTGCTCGCTCTGCGCAGACAGGTGAGACCGTGAGCCGAGGCGAGCCCGGGCGCCCGAGCGGGCGGACGACGCTACTCACGTTCACGGCGGGGTCCTGCAGGATCGCCAGGAAGTATTTGTGGCCCTTCGCGTTCACCAGGTCCGCTTGACAACTCTGAAATAATCATCTCTCGTCAGGTCGCGGGTCGCGGTAGCGCGTTTGGCAACAATAAGCCGCGTACGCACCGGGTCCACGGCGACGATACGAGCCCAGATGTAGAGCATGGCGGGGCGCAGGTCGGGCGCCGACGCCTGCAGCAGCTTCAGCATGTAGGGGAAGATGCCGACGGCCAGCACGGCGCGCACCGCCCACTCGCCCAGCGCCAGGAAGCGGCACAGAATGTGCAGCGCGCGCACGCGATGTAGCGTGCTCAGCAGAACCTGCAGCACCATGGGCAGCTGTTCGGGCGGGGCGCGGCCCGCGGCGCCCTCGCCGAGATCCAGCCACAGCTGGAAGGCGGTGAGCTGGTCGCGGAAGAAGGGCGAGTGGCGGAAGGGCGGCGGCCGATCTCCCAACAGCGCCGGCAGCTGCGCCAGCGCCAGGTCTAGCGTGTGCTCCCAGGCGGCCCACAGCGGATGGCGCGCCAGCGAAGGCAGCGCGGGGCTGGCCACCGGGGTGCAGTTGTAGGAGCGCATGATGCGGTCGGCGAGCAGAAAGTTCCGGCACAGGCTGGCCGTCAGCAGGTCGGCGCGAAACAGTTGCTGGAACAGATCGCCCGGCAGCGAGCTCCAGGCGATCGTGTCCGTGATGGCCGTGAAGATCCAGTTGAGCTCGCCTAGCATGGTGCGCCGGTCCGTCACCTGCCCCGGGATCCTAGCGCACGAGAAACGTTAACGGGCTGCGCGACAACGTAACGCTCACGAAGCGAGTGAAGCGGGGCCTACTTATCGATGAGGTCGACGAGGTCGGCGGTGGCCGAGCGCAGGCGGCTGCGCAGCACGAACCACTTCATGGCCATCTTGACGGGTGTGGTGAGACAGGCGGTGAAGAGATCGGCGGGTAGATCGGGCGACATGGGCAGCGTCTGGCCGGCCGCACACGCCGCCAGCTGTATGCAGTTGCGGTAGGAGACGGGAGGGCCGGCCGCGGGCTCGTGCTCGCGCTCGTGCTGCTCGGCGAACTGCTTGAAGTTGTCGACGATGACGCCGGCATTGGAGCAGTCGTACACGTACAGCGAGGGCGCGCCCATCCACGACTGCAGGTCGTACATGGACAGCGGGATGTACTGCGTGTACGCCTGCGAACTCCCTCGTTATTCTAACTGGTTCCCGACGTTCGTAATAGACCGCAAAGACGCCAAGTCGCGAGCTCACCTTGTTGAACACCCATATCTCCCCCTGAGAAGTGGGCTTGGGCACGCCGTGGCCGTTGTAGTGGAAGAGCACTCGCTCCTCCTTCGCGTTGCGACGCAGAGAGCAGCACAGTTTCTTGATCTTAAACACGACGGTCACCGTTATCTCTAGTTTAGTAATGTTTTGAGTCAGGGCAAATATAGCATCGGCTATATATACCGAATACTCACCGGCCGTATCTAATTAGCGTCCTAAGCCCGTAACTTGTTCGATTTAGAAGATCGAAACTCGGCCGAAAAACGTACATACGTATAAAATCCAAACGATTTTAGCAAACACAATTTCAATTTCAAAAATATGAGATAGAATGAACGCGGTGATAATGTCTTGTTTAATCTAACGCTGGCCATAGACGGACCGCATGTTGCAGTCGATACCGACTGCTGTAGAGCAGTTCCGTTGAAGTCGTACACGACTGCAACACGACCGCTCTAGAGCAGTCGGTCTCGACTGCTTGGAGCAGTTGTAAATAATAATAATATAATAATAATAATAAAGCCATTTATTCCAAAACTTGCTTATGTTTTACAATGTTGTTAGTACTACTTAATTGCTTAATTTAAAAAAATGGTTACTTACAATTACCGTTAGTATTATTATTTATGTACAAGGTTTGGATCCCTGTTGGGTAAAGGCCTCCTCATCCTTTTCCATGACTCCCTGTCTCTCCTATTTGTATCAGTCGTTTCCTGCGACGTGTGTTATATCATCAGCCCACGTCTTAATTGTCGACCAACATTTCTCTTCCCCATGGGTCCTTTCCATCGTTGTGGTTTCAATGGTCCATCTTCTGTCTCGGTATCGTGAGATGTGTCCAGCCATCTCCATTGAGTAAGAGTGCGTGCCTGAGAGCATCAGTTAATTTGGTTTTTTGACGAATTTCTTCGCTCCTAATTTTGTGTATTTTCCTAATTTTCAGCATACTCCTTTCCATTGCTGTTTGGTTACTTTTAATTTTTTGTTTTATTTTATTTGTAAAGGTCCAAGTTTGGCCCATACACAAGCAAGGTAACAGGCATGTATCAAATATTGTCCTTTTCATGTGTGACTGTAATTGCCTTTTAAGATTTCTTTTAGTGCCCAGAATTTCTTCCAAGTTGTGTTGATTCTCCTTGTCACTTCTTCTTCGTTATTTGAAGTTTTGAAGGAAATTTGTTTGCCCAAGTTATGTATTGCCTGACGTATTCTATATTATTACCTTTATCACTATCTGGCGCTCCCGATTGTTCGTTAGTATCTTCGTTTTATTTACATTCATTTCAAGGCCGATTTTGGAACTTTCGCAGTCCAGTGATCTCATCATTTCGTCTAAGTCTTTTGCAGTCTCAGCAATAACAGCAATATATCTGCGAACCTCAGATTGTTTAAGTATTGTCCGTTATGTACACTCCGCTGTTCTTCCAGTCTAGTTTTGGAAGATAGTTTCAAGGACTGCTATAAACACTTCGGGGAAAGAGGATCACCTTGTCTGACTCCGCGTTCTATGTTTATTTCGTGCCTCTAGTTTCTAATTTAACTCTGCTCGTGCTTTTTGTATAGATATATTTCAAAACATTGATGTATTTCTGGTTGATTTTGAATATTGTAAAGCGTTCCAGATTGCACAGTGACTAATGCTATCAAAAGCTTTGCTATAGTCAATGAACGCCACATACAGAGGTCTATTGTGTTCTCTGTATTTTTCTATGACTTGCTCTAATGTCTGTATGTGGTCCATTGTCTGAAGCTTGATCTGAATCCTGCCTGTTCTTTTGGTTGCTGCTTATCAATATCGTCAGATTTCTCTTTAAGATTATGGATGAAAATAGTTTATAAATACTTGCCAGCAGACTTATGGGCCTGTAATTCCCTATATCTAAGGGATTTCCTTTCTTGAAGAGAAGGATTATATCCGATGTACACCACTGTTTGGTACCTTTTCTTCATCTAGTTCTTATTGAACAATCGCGTAAAATGTATGTTAAAATGGGTGCTCCTATTAGTGCCTCATTCATATTCCGTCTGGTCCGGGACTCTTCTCGGCTTTCAGCTTTTTCATATGATCATAAACTTCCGGAGTATTCAATTTGTCTGATGTGATCTGTCGTGTTCGTATGGGTTGTTTGCGATATGATTTCGGGGTTATTTTGTTTTACTATATAAGTTTTTGTAGAAGTTAGTAGCGTGATTTATTACATCTTTTCTGGATTTTGTTTTTATGAGTTATTTTCAAGTTTTCGAATCCAGGACTTGTGTGTAGTTAATTCTTTGTATGCTTTTTTGGCACTTCTAAAATGTTTAATGTTCCTTGTAATAATCTCGTATCTGTGGTTGTTGTAGTCCTTACGGATTGATCTATTAGTCTCTTTGTATATTCTGCTTAGTTCTGTTTTCATATCTTTAGTTTTGTTCTTTGTGTGTAGTAGTTCCGTGCGCCTTTTTAAAAGTTCCATTGTGTCTTTTGAGAAGATATTGTGTTGGTGGGGATACTATTGGTTTTGTATTTTAAGCTCTCTGTTTGCCTTTTTCCAGGATATTGTAGTATGTTTGAATATCAATGCTGTCTGTTTATATTTTCTGTATGTTTTTGTAGTTTCCGATGTAGCACTTTATTTCTGTTTCTGTCTTGGGGATTTAGCTGGTGTTGTATAGGTTTTTCTGCTCTTTACTGGACTACTCAAAAGTAATTTGCTCTCACTAATCTATGATCGGAAGAGGAATTCAACTTTGTTAAGTACCTCAATATTAGTTATAAGTTTGTTGTGGGTTATCATAATAAAATCTATTTCATTTTTAGTTTTGTGGTCGGGTGATAACCATGTCCATCTAGAGCTTGCTTTCTTTTTGAAAAATGAGTTCATTATGGATAGTTTGTATTGATGAGCATAAATTAAGAGCCGTTCCCCTCTATCATTCCGCACTCCGTAACCATATTTTCCCATTACTGGATAGTAGTTTGTTTTTGGACATCTATTTCGCGTTGAAATCTCCCATGACAATGACCTTCCCTTCTGTCTTTGTGTGAGCAAATTCAATGTCTTTGTAAAAATTTTCAATTTCTTCTTCTGTTGATCTCTCTGTCGGTGCATATGCTTGGATTATTGAAAAAGAGAAGCAATCAAACTTCATTTGTAGAAGTGCTACTCTTTCAGAGATTCCTATAAAGTTGATGATGTTATTTTTTACATTTTCTTGATAAGGAATCCCACTCCATATAGTCCTTTAGTTTCGCCAATATAGCAAAATATAAGGTCGCTGTGCTCTTCTATCTTAATCCCATTTTCGGACTTCTGCAAGGCCTATAATGTCCCAGTTAATATTTTTTAGAGCATTAGTCAATTCAAGGAATCGTTCTATTGATCCTAGCGATTTTACATTATAATTGCAGATTTTGAGTGTTCGTTTCATACCATATCTATTTCTCTATTTGGTGGAGGGTTGTAGTCTGATTCCCCACGATGACAAGTCGGATTGGGGAATGTTTTGTTTCTTTTATCTATTAGTTCTCGTCTGTTTAATGTTTTGTTCCGGTGCTGATGGCAATATCCTATAGATTCTGAACGGTTGGCACATTGGCAGAAGGTAAGGAATTACTTCTATTCCTCATTATGTCGAATGCATTTAACCGAGCTGCTTTTGTTGACAGTTGTTGTTTGTGAGGGTGCTCTATTGCGTTAGGCGAGGTTGATGTTTCCCTTTTGCGTTTTTCGTTACCTGGTTTTGCCCTGTTTAATAATTAGCTTGTCGTAGTTTATGTATGCATAATTGCCCTTCTTCCTTTCCTCTTCCAATTTTGGTTGTAGTTTTCCTTCTCATGTCAATATTTCTTTCGGGTAGTCTTCAGATAAATACAAGTTTTTCAATTTCTTTTTATTTACCACTATCTCGTTTTTCTTCCAGGCGTTCACGAATGTTAGGAGGATAGGCCTTTCTTTTCCGTTTTTTGTGTTATTTTTGCCAATTCTATAGATCGTGTTCACATCCTATCTTCAAAAGTAATGTTTAAATCATGTTTCAAATTTCTTTTTGATTATTTCGATTAGGTCGATAGTCGATGTTTCGGTTTCTTTTTACTCCATATAAAATTAGGTTGTTGTATCTTCTAAATTTTTCAAGATTGTTTATTTTTTCCTTTAATTTCTCATTTTCTGATTTTAATTCCTGCATTTCAAGTCTAAAAGGAACTAGTTTTCATCAATCCGTGCCATAATGTCATCGGTTTGTTTTGACATTTCTATTTTCATTTGTTCAAAAAAAGATTGAAGGTTATCCATTTTTGCCGCTGTCGCTTACGTGAAATGAAACGTATTATGCCGGGCGCATACATACTGATTCCGGATCAGGTTTCCGTATCAGGGTTTCAGATTCGGAAACCTGAATGGTCCGCGTGCATACAAAATGTTCGTCAAGGCGCACACCGTTCTTACTTTTTCCGGACAGAAAAAAACCTGACGTTCGGTTCGGAATTTCTCCGTGCGTTCGTTTTGGAAGAACGGAAAAAAACCTGATGACGTCACCCCGAACGCAGCTTCGCATACATTTTGGCTCGATCGCCGCACACGTACGGAAATTTTCATTCAGAATCGCGTTGGCGCCCGCTGTGCCGAGAACGTCGACGTGTAACACTCTCCTGCTTTTATTTTATCTCGTATGAAGCTCATCAAAGGATTTCATTGACATCCTGAATTGAAGAATTCTTCTGGGTATGCCCGTAACTTGCTCTTTTGACATAGAATTGACTCTCAGTTAATCTTTGGGTATTCAGTGGATGACCCAATAACGACGTTTTATGCCCTTTGTCTAGCGCCAATAAAAGAGCAATGAGCATCAATTCGTCTTCGTCGTCCATACTCGTGCATTATCAGAAGCGTCTATGATCGAACTGATCGTTAAAATTCCGAATGCAAAAAAACAGAATGTGTGCGCTCTCCACATGGTTCTTGATTAGGAAACCTGATCAGGATTTCTGATCAGGAATCAGTATGTATGCGCCCGGCTTTATTGTGAACGCAGCTTAATAGGACTATTATGTTGGTAGTACTGAACCGCCTTAGTTTTGTTGAAATTGTGTCATAGTCTATACTCGGTTTGTTTGGCAGGTAGCCTCAAAAGTTTTTTCCACTTTTTAACCACTGAACAATTATCTTGATAACACAGTTTGCACTGGATGTTTTAGTTGCAGTATAGTTTATCACAATTGTATGAAATTTAAATGTTTTTACACCGGAGCTCACAGTATATTCACAGTTTATTCGTAGAAATACGGAGCCTCGTTACACTATTATTTACGTCTAGACAGTCGGAGCCGGAACTATCATCAACTATCATCGAATAGAATATAAAACACAATAAAAATTTAAAAAAGAAAGTACACTACAACTTAAACAAGAAGAAGTAACTAGATTTGATCTTGGATCCGTTGATAAAGCGTCGTCGTCGTACTGAGGCGGCCACTACTGGTTTGACGAAGTGGTTGAATTTCTTCTATATATATTTTGGTTTGGTAGTGACTTTTAATGTGATGACAATTATAAATGTTATTAGTCACGTATGCACTTTCACTGTGAGATATATTAATTAACGTTCCACTCCACAATAAATAGTACTTTTGACTCCTTTTTGCACTCAACATACATGTCATAAAAAATGTTAATATTTGCAGGTTGGTCCGTGCTGAGTACTTCTTCAATGCGTCGCAGCTATTTTGTTATTTCAAGCATTTGTTCGAAGTTTCTGCATTAAACAATTTTTTAAATCTTTAGTTTGTATCGAATTTATGACTTTTGAAATATATTTGCACTGTATTATTCACTGGAATATTTTTAATAACAACGGTAAGACGGAACTTGTGTTTACAGTTGGTGCCCACTACCCTCTCTGGAGCAGTTGTGTTCGACCGCAAATAATACTAATGCGAGTTCATTTACAAGATGTAAGACATAGAAGATAGACGATAGACGTAGAAGACACCGTAGTATGTGGGTGCGTCCAATACTACAATCAAGAGAACAGCATGGAATATTTCATACTTTGTATCCCCAGCTGAGAAAAGACACTAAAAAGTTTTTCAACTAGTTTAGAATGCCCGTGGTTTCATTTGATGAATTAGTTAGTATTTTATTTGAGGGAGTGGCGCGCGGTCGGCAGCAACCGCTTCTAGCGGTCCGTGTATGGTGGGTCCGGCAGCTCTAAGCAGTCGGCCGCACGGCGAAACTCGACCGCAAAGCGACTGCTCCGACCGCTCAGAAACTGGTCGTGCAGTCCGTGTATTGCGGATATGAATTTAGTATGGAAACTGCAGATCGCCGTGCGGCGACCGCTTAGAGCAGTCGGTATCGACTGCAACATGCGGTCCGTCTATGGCCACACTTACGTTACAAATATTTTTTTCTCACAGTGTTGCCTGGAAGAGATCGCTCGAAAGCGATAAGGCCGCCAGTTACCCTCCTTTACATTTAATTATGTTAAATTTGTATATTGTAACGCAACGAAGTGTTCATAAATAAATATATTATTTACTTGTGAGGTAGATCAATATGACAATATTTAACCCAATAAAGCTGTAAGAAAAAAAATAAACCACAAATCACTCACTTCATCGCTGGTGGGGTCAAGTGACTGCTTGTAACGAGCCCGTGGCTGCCATCGCTCATATTGTGTTTGCAGAGCGTGTCCAATAGATTCTAAAGCCTTGCTTGGAGAGAGCGAGTTTGGGTCTGTTGACAAGTTTAATGCCTACTCAAAATTCTAAATACTTATAAAAATTTCACCAGTGTGTGTGACATATCCTATACATAAAAAAGTTTTAATTAAAATGAATGCTAATTTCGTCCACCACTTGTGTACTTACAAAAGTACTTTGGATTGTTTGGTCATGTAGTCACAACTTACACAATAGTGAAATGGAGGTTTTTAACTAAATGAATTAGAATATATCTGTTTGTGTGTTACAATACAACACACACACATACAATATAACAAATATGTGTGTTATTTTGTTCACTTATTAGTATAGCCAGACGTAGGCACTTCTTCAACAGTTACATTGCATTCATTTGTTACATAGGAATTAACATTTCATAATTTTGCTTATAATCTATTGTTGTACGAGTGGTTAATATATAGAGTAACAATAAAATCCTCTATTATTTAAAGTACCCCAATGGCCCCTGGGTCCTGAACTGTACAATGTCTTTGTAAACAAACAAGGCTTCTAAATACATTAAAAAAATGTCTCACCTATCCAGCACTCTAAGCGAGCACAAGGCTGGGTCTTGACGACATCTGGAGGATCCACACCAACATTGAGACACAAAACTAGGGCTACACAGTGGGTTTTGTACTGAAATTGAAATAAAAATTTTCTTTACTATAACTATCAATAAAACATAATTCAAATATACATTTAATAACATAACTTTCTTTCTAATTGTTGTGTTTATCCATTGCTATTTCTATGAAATTTTACTCATATCTGAATAAATACACCAGATAGTTTCTAGATAGATCTTTTTAATCTTCTGCAACTGTAGAATTGATAAATAATTTTGAACATATCTTATGGGAATACAGTTTTATTAAAATTATGTGCATTATTAAGTCTAAATTTATTTATTCTACACATTTAGTTGTGTATACAATAAAATAATCCTAAATGTATACATTAAATATGAATCTTAAATTCTATCTACTATGTTATACCTCAATTTTTCTTGTAGGTACATAATGAAATCTTAATTCTTATCTTTGAATATCATCTATTCTACATCAGCTTTTTTATAGCGGAGCAAACCTTTTTGTTAAACAAATATATACATTATACAACACCAATGTTGTTGCCTTGTTTTTTTTGTTATGAGAATTATAAATAAATAAACATTCTTAATCAAAGAAATCATCATAATAATATTTAAAAATATTTTATGAAATAGATTTAAATATTATGTTTAGATATATATAATAAATATGTACACCCATGTGCGTTTGTTTTCTATTATACTCTTTTATTTACTACGCAGTTATGATGGATAATATGTTTATCTCAATAAGTCCCTACCTTTTCCTTTACTCTCCAAGTGTGCTCCTCACGTTCAACGCCCTTTATGGGGTCTGTATGCCGAGGTTGATTAAAACATAAAGGTAGATGGTCCTCAAAGTCAGAAGAATCACTATCGGTATGATCACTATCTTCATCGTTTACTGCGAGATAAGGAGGCATCTCTGTCATTTTCACTTTATAGTAACATAAACACTCGGACGTTAATGAAGAAAAATTATAAAAAGACACATTGTATACACTGGTTCAATGTGATTACAATTTTCACCACATGGGAAATATACAATAAAAATAATAGCAAAGAACTATCAAGTACTAATAAGTATACTAAATATCTAATCAGTATTCTGTGCCCAATGCTCATATGAATTATGAATTACCAAACTGCACAGACTATTAAAACTTGAAAGTATGTATAAAAGTTGTCACTGTCAGTGCTCAGAGTCAGTTCCATAGATCGTGTTTAATTGTTGCAGAAACTCACTAAGGCTGCTGCCTCGAATTTTGCGGGCAGCGGGGCGGCAGCGGCGGCGGCGCGGGAGCGGCAGGATCTTATGCGTAAAATCAAATGGACCGGTTCTCGAAAACAGCGGCGTGGCAGCGGCGCGAGGGCGGGTAACGAGAGGTGCAATCGCCCGCTCCCGCGCCGCAGCCGCCGCTGCCCCGCTGCCCGCAAAATTCGAGGCAGCAGCCTAACTGATGTAAACTTCTTACTTAAAACTATGAGCCATAAACTGATGTCATTGTCAATCTGTTTTGTTAGTGTCTTTTTGTCAATGTTTCAAATGTAACCAAAATATTTTACTGTTAATTTAGCTTATTAAAACCTTATATTCTTTAAAGGTTTTCTCTTATTTCAATTTGATAAGCTAAACAAAAGCAACATGGATTTGATATCGACCCGTCAAATAGCTCTGGTACGAGAACGTGGATACACTGGCATAAGACTTTCGAAAACTTCATTTCCGTGCAGAAACCGACAGTTCCAGAAACAGATGTACAGTCGGTTCCTCCGCCAGAAAAATGGGACAGCATAAAGTTTCAGCTTTTGGTAAATCATATATCACCAAATATCTACACATATATAAGCGAAGCCACGAACTACGAAGAAGCGATCACAATACTGCACTGTATGTAAAACCAAAAAATCGGATTTTTGCTAGACACCTGTTAGCAACAAGGAAACAACGACCAGAAGAAAGTGTTGACATATATTTACAAGCTTTGAAACTACTTTCTAAAGATTGTGACTTTGCGGCTGTTAATGCAGAAACAAATAAAACCGATAGGGTGCTTGATGCTTTCATATCCGGTATAATCGCATAAAATCAGACAAAGGCTTTTAGAAAACTTAACTCTAACACTTGATCAGGCTTACAACCAAGCACTCTCTCTAGAAACTGCAGAGATCAATACTGCAAATCAAAGCTTCCATACTGTGTCTTTAAATGCCGCTGAAAAAGAACCTATATTAGTCTGTCACAAACCACAAACTGTGCACGACGAGACCTGCTCTTCTATTGATAATCCTCGACGACGAAAATGTTTCTTTTGTGGGGGACAAATACATCCTCGTAAGAACTGCCCTGCATTTGAAAAGTCTTGTCAGCTCTGCAACAAGAAGGGGCACTTTGCCACTGTTTGCAGAAGCTCTTCTAAACCTACAAATTCTGTGGTAGTAGGTACTGAAAATCTTTCTTGTATCACAGCAGCGTCACCTTCTTAATTACATAAAGCTACTTTACCCGCGTATATTCGAGGAATAAGAGCAGAAGCACTTCTCGACACCGGCAGCTCCATCAGTTTTATAAATGACAGTTTTTCCTATGACTATGCGGGTTAAAAAGAAAATCCTGCAATCAGAATATTTATATGGCCTCTCTTAATCATACTTCACAAGTAGAAGGTCAAACTTTGCAAACCCTGAAAATCGGAAATCATAAATATGATAATGTGAATCTTCGTATCGTAAAAAAATTGTGCTGACATAATTATCGGACATTGAGGACTTAGTTTCGAAAGTTGCAAAGAATATATTTTTCAGCCTAATAGACCTGAAAAGCGGGTACTATCAAGTACCTATACTACCCGAACAAAGGAAATTTACCGCTTTTGAAGCGCTGGGAAATTTGTACCAGTTCAGGCATATTCCTTTTGAAGTAACAAATGGTGTTTCGAGTTTCTAACGAACAATCGATTGGATTATAAGAAAAGAAAAGCTTCAAAACACATATGCGTATCTTGATGATATAACTATTTGTGGCCGTACTCTTGAAGAACACGATCATAATTTAGAAAGTTTTATGAATGCCGCAAAGAAATACGGTTTAACACTGAGTGTATAGGTCCGGGAGAGGCGAGCACCATATAATAATAGTTTCTAGGCTAGGCAGTGGCCGCAGTTGGAAGACAAAGAACATTTCTTCTCGTTTAAAGTATATGTAATTATTACAACGTATACAGAAGGAACAAAGTTAACAAATGATAAGAGTTGTAGCACAATAAGAGAAAAGAAAGCGTTAAGACAAGAATAGATAAATTATAAGTCACTAAGGGATAATTCGTAAATCGCGCACGGGTTTCGCCTTTGACAGTTCTGAACGCACTGCTCGCTGGTCGCGCTGCCACTGGCTCCACCCACCGCACCCGTGTCGTCACACATAGCGGTAAAATTACCGACGCGGTGGAAAAGAGGAGTGATATTATTGTTCGCCACAAGTGTACCAAAATGCAAATTTTCTCAAGAGTCAATTAATATTCTAGGCTATAATATTCACAACCACATAATTAAAGCTCGACTCAAGCCACTGATTAATTTGCCTCCACCAAGCGATTTACCGACCTTAAGAAGGACACTCGGCATGTTCGCACATTATTCTAAGTGTATTCCAAACTTTTCTAAACGGATCCACTTATTTGCTAATACGACAACTTTTCCGCTCACAAGCGAGCAAATTAAATGTTTCGAAGGCCTGAAAAATTATATCGCAAAGTCTTCTAGACATGCAATTGATGTAAATATACCTTTTACAGTCGAAACTGACGATTCCATTGCAGAAATACTTACGCAAAATTCTAGACCAGTGGCGTTTTTCTCAAGAATTTTGAATTCAAGCGAACAAAACCATTCCGCCCATGAAAAAGAAGCGTACGCCATTGTTGAATCATTGAATAAATTGAGACATTTCCTTATTGGTAGACACTTTAAGTTGGTAACTGACCAACGCTCGGTTCTTTTGTTTAATATGAAACATTCAAGTAAGATAACCTCCCCTACCCAACCCCCCCCCCCCCCCCCCTTTTTTCCCCAAATCCCCTTTTCCCCCCCCTCCTTTTCCCCCCCCCCCCCCCCCCCCCCCCCCCCCCCCCCTCCCCCCCCCCCCCCCCCCCCCCTCCCCCCCACCCCCCCCCCCCCCCCCCCCCCCCCCCCCCCCCCCCCCCCCCCCCCCCCCCCCCCCCCCCCTTGTCCCCCCCCCCCCCCCCCCCCCCCCCCCTTTCTTTTTTTTTTTTTTTTTTTTTCTTTTCTTTTTTCCCCCCCCCCCCCCCCCCCTTTTTTTGTTTTAACTTAAACTAAAAAAAATCCTTTTTTTTTTTTTTTTTTTCCCCTCCCCCCCCCCCCCCCCCCCCCTTAAACCCCAAACCCCTTGGGGGGGGGGGAACGACCCCTTTCGCGGGGTTGGGCTTTTCCCCCCCTCCCTCTCCCCCCCCCCCCCCCCCCCCCCCCCCCCCCCCCCCTTTTTTCCCCCCCCCCCCCTCCCCCCCCCCCTTCCCCTCTTTTCCCCCCCCCTTTTTTTTTTCTTTTCCCCCCCCTTTTTTTTTTTTTTTTCCCCCCCCCCCCCCCCCCAAAGGGAACGGTGGGCCCCCCCCCCCCCCCCCCCCCCCCCCCCCCCCCCCCCCCCCCCCCCCCCTTTTTTTTTTTTCCCCCCCCCCCCCAAAAAAAAAAAATAAAAAATTTTTTTTTTTTTTTTGTTTTTTTTTTTTCGTTTTTCCCCCCCCCCCCCCCCCCCCCCCCCCCCCCCCCCCCCCCCCCCCCCCCCCCCCCCCCCCCCCCCCCCCCCCCCCCCCCCCCCCCCCCCCCCCCCCCCCCCCCCCCCCCCCTTCCCCCCCCCCCCCCCCCCCCCCCCCCCCCCCCCCCCCCCCCCCCCCCCCCCCCCCCCCCCCCCCCCCCCCCCCCCCCCCCCCCCCCCCCCCCCCCCCCCCCCCCCCTTTTTTTTTTTTTTTTTTTTTTTTTTTTCCTTTTTTTTTTTTTTTTTTTTTTTTTTTCCCCCCCCCCCCCCCCCCCCCCCCCCCCCCCCCCCCCCCCCCCCCCGTTTTTTTTTTGGTTTTTTTTTTTTTTTTTTTAACCCCCCCCCCCCCCCCCCCCCCCCCCCCCGCCAAAAAACAAAAAAAAAAAAAAAACCCCCCCCAAAAAAGGCGGCCGCGAGAGAAAACGTTTTTTTTTTTCCCCCCCCCCCCCCCCCCCCTCCCCCCCCCCCTTTTTCCCCCCCCCCCCCTTCCCCCTTTTTCCCCCCCCCCCCCCCCCCCCCCCCCCCCCCCCCCCCCTTCCCCCCCCCCCCCCCCCTCCCCCCCCCCCCCCCCCCCCCTCTTTTTCTCTCCCTTTTTTTTTTTTTTTTCCCTTTTCTTTTTTTTTTTTTTTTTTCCCCCCCCCCCCCCCCCCCCCCCCCCCCCCCCCCCCCCCCCCCCCCCCCCCCCCCCCCCCCCCCCCCCCCCCCCCCCCCCCCCCCCCCCCCCCCTCCCCCCCCCCCCCCCCCCCCCCCCCCCCCCCCCCCCCCCCCCCCCCCCCCCCTTCTTTCCCTTTTTTTTTTCCCCCCCCCCCCCCCCCCCCCCCCCCCCCCCCCCCCCCCCCTCCCCCCCCCCCCCCCCCCCCCCCCTTTTTTTTTTTTTTTTTCCCCCCCCCCCCCCCCCCCTCCCCCCCCCCCCCCCCCCCCCCCCCCCCCCCCCCCCCCCCCCCCCCCCCCCCCCCCCCGCCCCCCCCCCCCCCCCCCCCCCCCCCCCCCCCCCCCCCCCCCCCCCCCCCCCCCCCCCCCCCCCCCCCCCCCCCCCCCCCCCCCCCCCCCCCCCCCCCCCCCCCCCCCCCCCCCCCCCCCCCCCCCCCCCCCCCCCCCCCCCCCCCCCCCCCCCCCCCCCCCCCCCCCCCCCCCCCCCCCCCCCCCCCCCCCCCCCCCCCCCCC